ATAAATATTGGTGAGGCCCTAAGATTCTAGTCCTATTTCACAGAAAATACTAATATAATAGAGTATGTTTCCTTTTGGAAAATAGTTTTTCTTTATTCTTGAGAATTTTATACAAATATGCAGTGAAATATGATCATTCCCATCTCCCATTTTTCCCCCTTGCGCTCATTCTATATTCTTCCCAACGTGTTATCTCCCAACTTCCCCTTTGTCTCTTTTTCCTTCTCTTTCTCATTCCTCTTCTTTTGATATCCCAATAAGTCCAATTAGTGCTGCCCATATGTGGGTGGGTATGGGGCCACCCACAGGACCATGGAAAACCTATCAGAGGCCATAACCTCAAAATGAGTGATTTTTACCTCCTCCAGCAGCTACTACATAGCTACATACATACATACATACATACATACATACATACATACATTCCTCAGCAAGGGATGGGGCCTGAAGGGCACCTTCCCCATCTTGACTGAATTCTGGTTGACTTGGTCTTGTGTAGGTTTTGTCTGGGTCACCACGGCTGCTGTAAGTAGTTTATGGCTGCTGCAGCTACACGTTGGGTCCAGGAGACAACATTTTATAGCATCTCTCCCCTCCTCTGGCTCTTATCTCCCTTCTGCACCCCATCCTGAGCCTTGGTGAGGAGAGGGGTTGGTAAGGGTATTCAGTTTAGGGGTGAGCACTCGGGTCTCTTATAGACTATGCTCTATTTTTAGAAAATGGGACTGGAGAGACGGATCAGGGGTTAAGAGTTCTTGTTGTTCTTTCAGAGGACGTAGTGGCTCACAAGCATTCATGACTCCAGTTCCAGAGGCTCTGATGCCCTTTCTGCAGCAGGCATGCACATGATACACAAACAGACATGCAGGCATTAATACATATAAAATCAAATAAATCTTAAAAGTTTGTAAAATGCTGTAAGGATAGAATCAATAAAATCTAGCCTGGGTGAAACTCAGTAGGAAAACCAGTTCTTAAGTTTAAAAGTATTGGGAGATAGAGCAAAAGGAGCTAGGAGGTGGCTTAGTAGGTGAAGTGTAGACTGTTCAGCTTGGGGACATGGATAGATGCTTAGCATCCATGTAAAAGCTGTTTTGGCAGCATGGGTCCTCTCGGCCCTGGGAGAGCAGACGCAGACTGTCCCTGGAACTCACTGGCCAATGGATCTATAGGAACATGGAGCTGCAGGTTCATGGAGAAATCTGATTTCCAAAAAGTGAGGAAGCGATGGAAGAAAACTCCTGACATTGGCCCCTGGCTTCCACATGGACCTGCACATGTGCACGCATACTTTTACACACACGCAAAAGGAGAATCGGTAATAACAATGAGAAGGTGGGGCAGGGTGGCTGACAAAACTCCTGTCACTCAAATGGAACGTCTGGATCTTACTCCGAGATCTAGAACAGTAAAGAAGCAAGGCAGACAGCTGAATCAGCATAGACACACGTTTGAAGGTATGAGGAAGTGAAATATTGGGCCAATGAGATGATTCAGAGGATAAAGGCACCTGCCACCCAGAGATGCAAGCCTGCCAACCCGAGTTTGATCCTTGGAATCCATGTGAAGACGGGAGGGGAGAAAGTCACCCTGTCACCTGCACACACGCATACGCACACGCACACACACACACACACCGGGGCACACGCACCCTCACCCTGTCTCCTACACACACACACGGGGGCACATGCACCCCACATGTTCATCATACACACAAAACTAATGATAAAATGGAACAAATGAAAAATATTTTAAAGGAATTCCGTTCTTTCATTGGGGCTCTAGCTTGGTGATAAAGCTCTTACCCAACATGTTCAAGGCCCTGAATTCAATCTCTAGCTCAGAGGCAAGGGGAGACTGAATTTTTTTTTGTCATGGGGAAGAGGGTATGGTAATTGTCTTTTAAGAAAAGGCCTTACCCTTTCAACATAAAACTAAATCATGGACCAGTGAAACAACACACGGCCTAAGATTTCTTCAAATAACCAAGCATTATAGACAGGGATATAGCTCAAAAAACAAAACAAACAAAAAATCAACACTGGCTCTCTGTTGATACCCGGTGAAGCTAGGCAACAGACTCATTGGGAAATTTACACTCTATGACAATTGTATCTGTTTGAAACTTTTATAGTCCTTTTAATCCATAAAAACCACCATGAGGAAGGAAATATTATCAGCTTCAAATCAAAGGGAGAGAGGACACTGAAGGCTTGGGAGGAACAGAACATTGCAGGCAAGAAAGGAAGGGGGAGGACGATTTGTAATCTTCCTGTACAAGGAAACTTCCAGAGTCCAGCTAGTATGTGCAGAGTACTCAAATGTAGCCGGGACTGAGAGCCTTTGTTGAGGGACGATGACCTTGGCCCACCCCTGAGAGCCTGGGGAGCTAGTCTTGTCCGAGGTGTGCCTTGCAAGGATCCTGGGTTATATTGGGAGTTGGGACCTCTTTGACCATGGGCAGCTTTGACAGCTGGCTGGGTTAGCGATTTAGTTTGCTGCCACCCAAGGAAGCACAGCCAACTGGGCCACATGAGGAAGTAACCTGAGCCCTTAGCCCCAACCTGGGAGCCAAGTTGCAACTTGCTGGCCTCTGCCTGGCTGTGTGGGGACAGAGGAACGCTGTATGGCCTACAGGGCAGCCTGGGGACTTGGTTTCAAGGAGGGACGAGGCTTTCACAAAGTTTCAAAAGACAGTTTGGCAAGGGCCTAGGAGGGTGACTTGTGGCCTAGTTGAATGAAATAAATGTCAGAAAAGGTGGAAACAGGGTAAAGGGACAAATGTCAGCAAGACGGCCCTGGCTTGTTCTTTCAAATGTTACAGGAAGCGGAACCAGAAAGAGAGGCTTATTTCCCCTCTCAAGTCTGTGAAGTTTGATTTTTGGTTGTCTCATTTGCCTTTGGATACTTTTCTTTGCCTTTGTTTTTTTTTTTTGTATTTGTATGTATATGTGTTAGTGTGCAAGTCATGCATGCGTGTGCGTGTATGTGTGTGTGTGTGTACATGTGTGCATGTAATGAATCGAAGAGAACTTCCAGGGTCATTCCTCGGGTGCTGAACTGGAATTCACCAGACTCAGGCTGGCAAGCTGATGGGTCGGTAACCCCCAGCGTCTGCCTGTCTGCCACGCCAATGCTAGGCTAACAAGTGCTTGCTGTCACAGCCTGCTTTTCATTATGCGGACTCTGCGGATCGAACCCAGATCCCCATGCTTGCAAGCACTTTGCTGAGCTCCAGCTGTCTCCCCAGATCCCTGCCCTTTATTTCTCATTTTCCAAGTGGAACCCTGCTAACTGCCGCCCACCAAGCATAACATTTCCTCCCACGCCTCTCCCTGGAGACGAAGCTCTCTCCCTTCTCATCCACCTACCCCTTTTGTCAAATCTTGCTCTTAAGAAAAACAGCCTCTCTCCTTTTCCCTCTGAATTGTGGTCTCTTCATTTTCTCCAAGGCCAGGTGGCTTGTTCTTTCCTTGGTGTTGACCCCTCTGGGGTCACAAGAGGAGAGTGAGGAGCTCTCGGGGTGAGGTCACAATGTATTTCTCCCTGTAAGGAGCTTCTGTGTTGCTGTGTTCCCGGGTGACAGTCTTGTCTCTCTTTAGCTTCCTGGAACCATTACTAGGTGCAATGCCTGGATCTCTCATGATCCTGCTGGGAAAACCTGCTGTTTGTTATCACCTAAGTAACATCTGGCTACAGATGAGAAGCAAGAAATCAGAGCAATGAAGAGAACGGGAGGGGAGAATGACCTGTGTCATCTGCCGAAACCTGGCTTAGGTTAGAGTCATGGTTTTTCTGTGGGGAGCTGAGATTCAACACAAATGCAGGGCACAACATACATTCCTAAAGAATCAGGGTTCTTCCACAGGGGGAGGGAGGGAACCAGGAGGGCGAGGGAAGGAAGGAAAAGTGGGGAGGGGGGGACAGTAGGTATAAAATATTTCAGTTAGTTGACTTCCAGATGATTTAATTGGATACAAATAGCTATTTGTTTATATATCTAATATTACTACGCCAAAACTACTTTAACATCCCTCCATGTTTTGTCAGCAAGATGGAGAGCACGTTCACTTCAAGCCCAATTTTCCAAGCGATGAAACAAAAGATGAGAGGGGCAGAGTTTTTACCCCTGGTGGCCCTGCAGCTCCAAGTGGTCATTTTGAGATCTGACTGGTATTTCAGTTGAGGTTGTCTCTTTAGAGCTTTGTTGGGTTTTGTTTGTTTGTTTGCTTGCTTGCTTGCTTGCTTGCCTTTTTGGAAAAAAAATTACTTGTATTTATTTGTGTGTGTGTGTGTGTGTGTGTGTGTGTGTGTGTGTGTGTGATTATATACCTATGGAGGTGAGGGGACGACTTAGGTTAGTCCTCACCTTCCACCGGGTACACAGACCCTGGGGATCAAAGTCAGGTCATCAAGGCTTGGGTTGTCAGGCTTGGCCACAAACACCAAGCCATTTCCCTACCTGTAGGGTTTTTGTTGTTGCTGGTTTTTTTTTTTAATCTTCTGGTATGTAATGGCTATAGGATTGTTCATGAAATTAATGGCTGTTGTATTTGAAGCTTTACAAAATCATTGTTACCTTTTTTTCAAGCAAGTACGTTTGCCTGTGTATTTGTCGTCAGCCTCTCACTCTGTAGCAGCCAGTCTCAAAGCTGTGATTCTGTGACCCTCCTGCCTGAGCTTCCCAAACGGTAGAATTACAGTTGTGGGCTGTTGGGGGCCACCCTGCTCAGACACTCTTTGGGGGAGAGAGCAAGAAGGCGTGGAGTCAACAACATCGGGAGTCAGGTGAGTAGCAAAAGCCAGCTGGTTTATTATATATAATAATAATATATAATAATAATAATATAACCCCTTCCAAGGTCCCATTGGCTCAGGTGGCCTTCTCAGCTGTGTTGTCCTTCCCTCGCTGGCATCTCTGGTCAGGTGTCTCTGAATCAGCAGCCTCTGGGCGTAGCAGCAGGCCTTAGGTTGGCTCAGGAAGTACCTGCCATGCATGCTCCTGTGGCCTGGTTTGGGCAAGGCAACTTTGGCTTGGGTAAGCTGACCGACTTTCTTCTACAGTGTACCACCTCATCCAACAATCGGGGTTTAAGTACAGTTTAATCCTCCTGTGTCACAGGAGGAAAAAGAAGAGATTAAAGAAGTTGGTAACTTAGAATCATTTTGTCTGACTGTAATCACATCCCAAGATTTCTATCTGATCTCATCCGCTATGAACAGAGGGAAACCAAAGGGAAGCCACAATGAGGCAATCCCAACAACAGAAGAAAGTCCTCAGTTCTTAAAATACATCGTTGAAGTGCCTAACTTTCATTAGTATATATAATGATACATCCTTTTGGATAAATCTTTCCTTACATTCATGATTCCAATAAAGTTATAATGAGGGCTACTCAAAAGTCATATGATTTTTAACAGGAGCAATAAAGGATATTAAAAATTGCTAAATTGTAGTTTTCAGAGAAAATCGATTCATGTGTAAATTATAAGTATTATATCTTTTATTTTTAAAGTGTTTTGTTTGCCTTCTTATTTGTTTTAACATGAGGCTTCAAATTGTACAGGCTGGCCTCAAACTTGCTATGTAACTAAGAATGACCTCAAACTTCTGATTCCCCTGCCTCCACCTCTTAAGAGGAGATTGCCAACGTACACCACCAGAACCAGTTTAGTGCTAGGGAGCTGAGCCAGTGCTTTGTGAGGTAAGCATTTCAGCACCTCAGCTACATCCTCTCTCCTCTATTTTGTGAGCCTGGGTCTCAGGCTGTACCGTAGGTTGGCCTGGAACTCACATGCAATCCAGACTAGCCTTGAGTCTCTGTTCCCGCTCTCCCGGCCTCCACCTCCCAAGTGCTGGCATTACAGGCATGGGCCATACCTGGCTTTAGAGTTTTTAAAAAGAACAGGAAGAGAATTTGTTAACCTCTGAGATCCCAAGAAATCAGAACATGCATACTGGAATTAAGTGAGCGAGCTTAGAAGTCAATATGCAAATGTTAATTTGGAAGAATTTCCGTGCAGAAACGGAGATTGTGACGTGAGAGTCCTGGGATGCATGTAGAACAGGGAGATGTCAAGATGATGTGGCAGAGTCACCTGGGCTGGTGGCAGCAGACATGTCAGTCAGAGACGCAAACCAAGTCAGGACTCACCTGTCACTCAGAGGAGGCTCACCTGTACAGCGTTCAGGTTTCCAGGAAGAGCCAAGGATAAGGCCCTGGAACCTCCATCCCTCTAAGCCCCGAAGAGCCTGCAGAGAAGCTGGCTCTCTGCTGGCAGGTACAGCGAATTGTCTGGAATCTTTTAATGACTGGCGATGAATCTGCTGGGACAGGTGCGTGATTATCAGTTCTTACACGCCACAGACCAATCCTCCATCATTAGACTTTGTGTATTCATTTCTGAGCAGAGAAAAAGGCTGTTTGGGCATGCTTTCCCAGCACACCTCACGGCTCAGCATGCGGAGGAGTCGCCTGAGATTCCACCTCGTGATTAGTCTTTAAACAACAGAGTCCTCTGGGGCAGGAGGGTGACTGGGCCCCTCTTTTTTAGTGATGGATGCTTTGCTCGGATATTATGGCTGATTTTTGGGTTCTGTAACACACACCATTGTACTGTTCTCGATTTACAGTGCAGAATACAAGTAAATATTTATTCTAATTCTATATCATAAGTATCCAGAATTTTTGTTTCATTTTATGTATTTATTCTTTTTTCCTGTTTTATTTGGGGGAGGCAGGGGTTTGGGAGAATAAAGTATCTCCAGGTAACTCAGACTGATCTAAAACACTTTGCAGCCCAAGTTCATGCTAAACTCATGATCCTCCTGCCTCAGCATCCAGAGGGCTAGAATTACAGATGTGTACCATATACTAAGCTTTTTTTTCTTTTAAATATCCATCAAGTTGACAGTTTCATTTAATTAATTTTGACTAATTTACATGATCTCTGGTTTTCTTAAATGTAAGTGTACATGGTAAGAAGCTTTCCTCCCTCTTTCTGTTCCTGCTCTAAACAATTACTTCTTGATTCTGCAAACAAACCATGTTGCAGAGTTTTCTGGGTTCTTCCGGGTGCAGGTTACACACACACAGGAAAAAAGTACACTCCTGAGGTCCCATGCATTCCTAGTTACACAAATAGCAATCGATTCTGTATATTCTTGAATTAGTATTTTTGAAGTACAAACAAATGTGAGACCCTTGAAGACCTCTTCTGCCCTGGCTGCTCCCCTTTTCCTGCACATCCTCTCACCCCTAATAGGCACTTACTTTGAACCTCTGTGTGCTAGCAACACATTCCATTCCCTAATTAGTGGGGAATCTTACGCATGCTCGTCCGCTCAGCATTGTTTCTGTGTAAGCTTCTCAAAGCCGAGATACACACACGGAGCCCCCCCTCAGCATACAAGATCTAACATAGCAACATGAATAATTATGAGTTTAATAAATGCCTTTTTATGACTCTGACTTCTGATTTCCTTGCCACCCACTTAGCATTTGGAAAGCCGTTCTATCCATTTTTACAATTCAATTACATCCTAGCTCATTAATAGCCAGGTAAATAGCATGGATCGGCCAGATTCTGAGAGAAGACCTCAGGTTTGTTCCTTATTAAGTCAGTATGTTAAAAAAAAAAAAGAGCCATGATTTACATCTGTCAGTTCTTTCTAATTGTATCTATGCACCCAGTATAAATCTAAGCTTATATGCAGCTGGATTTCATTAAGAACTTGATAAGTCTATCTAGAATTTATATGAAGAAGATACATGACTATCTAGCTTGATTTTTAAAAATAAGAGCAAAAGGGTGTTAGTAGGTGTATGAAGAGTTAATAGGGGCCCGACAGATGGCTCAGTGGTTAAGGGTGCTTGCTGGTCTTGCAGAGTGGGGACTTGAGTGGGGTTCCTAACGCTCTCATCAGGAATTTGTAGCCACCCCCAACTACAATTTTAGGTCATCTACAGACACCTGCACTCACTCATGCAGAGAGAGAGAGAGAGAGAGAGAGAGAGAGAGAGAGAGAGAGAATAGAAATAAACCTTCAAATTAGAAAGAAGACTTAGTAGTAAAGGCAAGGTTGGTCGATACAAAAACAAGTCAAAAAAAAATGGAACAACCTAAAGCGGTCAGAGCTCTTGTGTTAATGTTGAACCCCCAAGGTGATACTATTAGGGGACAAGGACTTTTGGGTCTTTAGGCAATTAGGGGAAGAACCTTCATGAATTGGAGCACAGCTGTTGCGAAAGAGAGCAGAAAGAAAGCCCTTCTTCCTCCTTGGCCACAGGTTCTCATGGTGAGAAAATCAGACACCATCTGCGGCACCCGCCCTGGATTTTCACCCCCAGAATTCTAAGAAATAACCTCCTGATACAACTTGCAGCGGAACCATAGCACACCAGTTTAAGGCGGTCAGTGCTGTTAAGTTTGTGGCTACACAAAACGAAAATGAGAAGAAAGCATAGCAAACAGTTTTGGGGAAATCTGAGGGAAAATCCATCGAGGTCTCTGCCTAAACCTACACACCGGAATGTAAAAAGTGCAATTGTAAAATAAATAAAAATTTTACTAATAAAATTCACAATAGAAAATACAAGAAACTGTGTGGAATAAATAAAGAATATGATTTTAATTTTTAAATATTAAAAGATTTCAAATATGGGGCTGGAGAGGATGTTCAGTTCGTAGAGTGCTTATCTACCACTCTGGAAGCCCTGGTTTCCAACCCAGTGCCTTATAAAACAGGTGTGGTGGTGCACACTTGTGATGCCGACACTCAGGTGGTGATGGGCGTCACAAGTTCAAAGGTCATCCTCAACTCCATAAAAAGTTCAAGGCCAGCCTGTCCAAAGAAGGAAGGATAGTTGGCCTTGAACTCACAGAGCTCGCCTACCTCCCTCCCAAGTGCTAGGATTAAAGGCCCATACCACCACCTTCCAGCATCTTGGGGTTCTTTTATTTTGCTTTTAGCTTGGCTTATCCAAATTTGATATGATGGCTTTCATTTTATCTTATTATATTTTATTGTCATATGTTTTGTTGCTATCTCCTAGAAGCCTGATCCTTGCTAATGAGAAATAGGAAGGGAGTGGATCTGGATGGGAGAGGAAGTGGGGAGGGACTGGGAGGGGTAGAGAGAGTATTCAAATTATATGGTAGAGAAAAGAATCTGTTTAGTAAAAGCAGCTATTTTTAAAACAAGATTCCAAAACATAAATACTGAAGCATTCTGTTATCTAAGAGTTAGAATTAAAAGTGGGGGAAAAAAAGCAACGGAGAGTAAAGACTACATCTCTCTCACACCAATTTCTAAAGAGATGACTATCTGGAATATACAAAAAAATCTTGCAAATTGACAAAATGACAGAAACTTTAAAGAAAAATCTGGACATAGACTAAAATAGGCAACTTATATGGAGGCAAATCAAGAACTTGAAGGGTAACCCTAAAGAAATTAAAATAAAAATAACAAAGTATCACTTTATACCAAGTAGCCTGGAAAAAATTAGCTGGTTAATGCCAAGTGTTGGTGGTGATGTGTGCCGGTGGAAGGCAGACTGGTGTATTCTGGGAAAGCAATCTGTCTCTATTTAGTTAAATTAAGTATAAGGATATTCTGGGATCCAGCAGTTCTGTTCCTGGATAGGCATCTCAGAGAAGTTCTAAGACAGAGCCACTCAGAGATACACACAGGGTGTTTACTACAGGGTTATTTGTGGTCGTGGACAGATGGACACCATCTGAGAGTGATAGGTGATACCCAGAGGACCGGCCCACAGGTGGAAGACGGGGAACCAGGGCACACTCGGTCACATGTACAGATGCTAAATACACAGTTAAGAGAAACAAGATTGGAAGGATTAATACACCCATCATTTCAGTTAAGAAAATCGGAGCCCAAACCAGTACCTATTGTTCAAGAATACACACAAGGGCTGGGGAGATGACTCAGTTGGTACAGTGCTTGCCTCAAAAGTGTGAGGACCTGAGTTCGACTCCCGACATGCACAAATAAAGATGGGTGAGCCCAGCACTCGGAAAGCAGAGGCAAGAGGATCCCTAGAACTCATTGGCCAGTCAGTCTAACCGAATTAGTGAGCTCCGGGTTCGGTGAGAAACACTGTCTCAAAAACTAATGTAGGAAAAAATAATTATAAAGTGGAGAGCGATGGAGGAAGAACCCCAGTGTCAGCCATTGGCCTTTGAATGGGTGTATGCACACACATTTAAACATGTACACACACACACACAAGAATACATAGAAGCCAAATGGTAGTATGATGGTATTTGCAGTGGTTCTGGGGGCAGGAAGAAGGCATCCAAATGGAATATTGGAATAAGAAGGAATAGATAAATAAAAGCAGTTGCTTGCACAGACTGATGATGATAATGTACCCGGAGATGAGGAGTAGCATTACCTCATCTTTCTACATCCAGACAAGGGTAGGGGTAAGAAGTAGACAGAAGAAATAGTTAACATCTTTGAATGAGTCAATATGATTGACACCTTCATCACAAGATTTAACAAACCAGACCCAGGTACCTAAAACATAATAAACAAAACAAAACTCTTCTATGGCTCGATCTCAATATTAGAAATGGATAATCTACAAAGAATACAAATCATTTATAGCAACACTCCACCCACCGTGAGAGGAGCACAGACCCCCACACCTCCCTTGCTAGGACTTCCTGTCACAGAAGGGACTTTGGAAAGACACCCCAACTGCGCACTAGAAACTGAACCAATTGCCTGGAGGTTTGGGCTGCCATGACTGCCTTTGCAACTTAGAAAACTGTTATGTCTCCCTGGGTCTCAGTTTCCCTTCTGTACTATAGAACCTATTTAACAAGGGAAAACCTGGGGCTCTGGTGTGAACCTGCCTGAGTTTAACCCCATCTTGCCTCGACCAAGACTTTATTTTTCAAATCTTTCCTCCTTCTTTCCTTCTTTTCTCCCTCCTTCCCTACCTCCCTCCCTTCCTCACTTCCTTCCTTCCATTTGGAGCCCACTATGTAACCCAGATTTGTTACACAGTGGTAGTCTTTAATAGCCCATGTGCATACTCAGCTAGTGTTAGCCATAAACTTTTCCAGGAAGCTGGAGTTAATTAACATTAGCTTAGTGCTAATGTGGGGACCTGGGTTTGATTCTCAGCACTGAAGAAAATCAAGAGAAACAACCAAAGAAAGAATACAGTATAGAAGGGGTTAACAAAACCATTGCCAGGCCAAAAAAAAAAAAAAAAAAAACAAACCAGGATCTAACTTAATGTACACGGTGCTGTAGACAGCTATGGTGGGGAACGCATACCTGTTGTTCCAGGTGCTCAGGAGGCTGAGGCAGGGGAGTCACCTGAGTTCATGAATGAAGTCCTGTCAGCGCAACAGCGAAACTTCACCTCTAGACAAAGAAACAAGCATACAAACATACACCCAAATAAATACTGGCACACATTACCTCAGCGACCCTTATCCCCGTACCTCAAATCCTCTTCTAATCATGGGGTTGTGAGACAAGCTCCGACAGTGGAGTACCTGCTAATACATCTGACCAGTGCTCCTCAAAGCGCCAACATCTGGCTCATAAGATCTGCTCAGCAGGTGGAGGTGCCCGCTGCTGCCCATCAGCCTGAGCTCAATCCCTGGGACCTACATAGTGGGAGAGAACCGGGTCCTGAAAAGGAAGGTGTCCTCTGGCTGCCTTGTGTGCACTGTGGCCGGCCCACCCTCTAAGTAAATAAGCGAATGTAAAAAAGAGGCAGAAAAAAGAATTGCCAACATCATCCAAAACAGACAGAGTCTGAGGGACCGTCATAGCCACGAAGACCTAAGGAGACTGTGACACTCAGGTCAATGCAGTGTCCTGGACCTGAGAAAGAACATTTGTCAAACAGGAAAAAAAATGGAAATATTTAAGTAAATATCGAGTTTAGGTATTAATAATATACTAATATTGGACCATTAATTGTCACCTCTCACGTTAGTGTGGCAGTAACTGGGGGAGCTAGGGTGATGCTCAAGCGATATGGAAACCCTGCGTGCCTATTAATCTAAAAGTATCCTTTTTATGTATTTGGTGAAAATAATTTCCTCTTTAATAATAAATGTTGGTCCTTTTCTTAAGATTTATTTTTATTTACAGGTATGTATTTATTTATTTACATGTACGAGTATGTCACATGAGGGTGCCCACGGAGGCCAGAAGAGGAATCTGACGCCCCTAGCTGGGGTTACGTCCCGGTGGGTGCTGGGAACAGCTGGGTTTGCTAAAGCAGAAGGAAGCTGTGTTAGTGGTTTGATTAGGTAATGCAATGACAGTGTGTAGCTTACTGACCTCTAGGAGACTCCCCAGCGGGTGGGGTGGGGTGCATTGGTGCCAGTAGCGTCGCGATGTTGTGGCCGAGGACACATTTCCTCACAGCCCTCAGAGTCCAACCACACGCGACTAGAAAGGTGCTTTAATCAGTCTGAAGTGACAGGGTTTCTACGTTTTGGGGTCTTTGAGCAAAGTGTTGAGGGAGGATTATCTGTGTGGGACTCCATCTCCTCCTGGTCCTAGACTGACAACCGGCGCACACAGTAGGTACTCACGAAACAAACAGCTGCATAATCTGGCTGGCAAAAAAAAAAAAAAAAAACAATTGCACTGTATACCGTCTAGTTAACGACACTTACCTGTTCTTGTGGTTTAAGGTTCAAGTCTCCGAGGAAGAGAACTATGCCTTTAATTCTTGGGGTGTTGGGCCATGTGCCACTTGCATGGTTTCTTTCCCTAAGTACCTAATCCTGTGCTGCCATGGACTGGAAACCGGCCTTTCAGGTTTGTTTAATGTTTCTCTCATGAAGAACCTTGAAGCAATTGAATGTGACAATTTTTTTTCCTGTGAGTTTTTTTTTTTATTAGCTACAGAACCTTGCCAAGTCACTGAAGTTAATCTGCAAGTCCTGTCATTATCACCCCCCCCCAAAAAAAAACAAACCAAAAAAACCAACTACTCTGGCAAATTAAACGCACTTCTCAATGCAGGCTTAATAGGCAAGAGGGCTGTTCGGAAAGCTCAATGGATTATAAACGCTCCTTTACAAAATACACCGCCGCACACTTACACTTGGAGATGAGGCCTTAAATAGTTAAACAAGCCCATTGACATCAACCCGGTGCGGTTCCTTTGTTTATTTTTCCCTAAAGACTTCATTACCTCCAAAGTACCTGACTGAATAGGAGCAAGTGGCCTGGCGGAATTGCGCCGCTCTGATGGAGGGAAGCAGAGAGCCCGCGCGTGCGTGGGAAGGAGCGTGGACATTAGTGGGGGCGAGAGCCGTCAGAACAAACTCTGAGGAAACGCGGAGAGAAAGCCACTTGGTTATAATCCAGGGTCAGGCAGCACATCTGCTGACCCAAGGTAACTAATGATTGTTTGGTAAAATCTGAGGCTCTGAAAGACAAGATAAAATAAGTACAAAGCAGAATCAAAAAAAAAAAAAACCAACTTAGGCGTTTGATCAGCAACGTTGAATCAATAGGGAGCGTGGTAAAAGTTTAGCTCTAAGATAAGTACTTGCCCTACTCAGTGAAGGGAGCTCAGGGCTGACGCAGAAGAACAAGCTTCAAAAAAGATTTCTGTATAATCAGTGTCATTTTAAGCTGAACCGATCAAGATCTCCCAGGGAGTCCAGGTCGCCCCTACACTGCTACCGTCAAGAATGACGTTGGATGGGTCTGCTCACAGCCCGCCCCCCGCCCCCCACGTCGGCTCTGGGCTGGATAATGAAGCTTTCAGTCAGTCTGCTGGACTGAGCCCCAGGCCACACCCCTTTACACACAGATCCCACAAGTCAGGGGACACTGGAGAAACTAACTACTGAGTGACTAGGTGCAGCTCGACGTCTGGGGAGTTCAGGCTTGCCGCGACTGAGCTACGGAAAGAGCCGAGTCATTAGCCTCCTCTTTTAACTAACTCTAAAGTTGGCTGGCTTCACACTGGACCTGGTGATTAGCAGGACAGAGATAGCTTTCGCAATTCAGCTTCTTCAAGTAGAAAGAAATTTGAAGCTTCCTCTGAGCAGCCATTTCCTATTTGAATGCTCCAGATCAAATCTCCCCCGCCAGTAGGCTGATGCTCGGTCTCATCTTGCACACATCCTGGAGAAGAGAGAGGCCTGGAGAAGTATCGAGAACATTTATCTTTTCTCAACCTGACATTACTTCTCCTGATTGAGAAGATGAACTTTTCCGCGTGGAGCATCCGTGGCTGTGCTGCAGACTTTGATCTAGTTGAGGGCACAGACCCCACTATCCACTGAGAACTCAGCAGTTCACTGTGAAGCCTTGAGCTGGGCTGGTTCTTCCTTCGTTTCCTCCCCTCGCCCAGTCCATAGTCCTCTCTTCAAAGTATTTTAATTCATATACTTTCCCACAGTGCTGATGTAGTCAAGAGCTGTAATAACTTTCTCCTTTTTTTTCTTTTTTTCGGGTAGAGTCTCACATGTCCCAGGCTGGCTTCCAACTCCATATGTAGTTGAGGTTGACTTTGGACTTTTGTTTCTCCTGCCTCCGCCTCCAAAATGCTAGGATTACAGACTCGTACTCAGTTCATGTGGTGAGGGTCAAACCCATGGCCTCATGCATGCCAAGTAAACACTCTACCCACCAAACTGCAGCTCAGCACTTATATAATAACCTGTTCAGTACAAACCCCCCATGATCCATCTCATACCTCCAAAGAGAGATACTAAAAATAATCCCCGAGTTTATGTGAGTTAATCTCCAATGGCCTTTTTGTGAGGTCACACATGGTCCAGCCTTTACTGTCTCCCAAACTCACTTCTTCCCACGGTCCCCCAAACCACACACCTGTACGGTATGATCCCAGAGGATAAAAATGCTACAATAAAAAAAAAATCTGCTCAAAGAAGCTCAAAGAAGGAGACACACAGGGAAAATCACTGACGGGAAGCTCCAGGACCCCTGGGTGGTGAAAGACTGGCCATGGATTCTGTATGTCACATCCTTTGTGTCCTTATTCTGTCCCGGAGATCCACAGTCTGTTATTTCCCTTCTTAACTGTCCCGGTGTGAGGGTTCCCGTTCCTGACCAGAGATGCAGGTGTTCAAGTTACTGACAGGGCCTAACAACCAATACACGTGTTTGATAAAGATCTGCTCTGTGAAGACACAAGAAATGACAGGGCAAACAAATTCACATAAGAAAGAGTAATCTAGTGGAGGAAGAGACACAAATAATAACAACAAATATTCCTGATTTGTAAGGCAGTGTCCGGTAAAAACCATAACAAGATTCTATATTTTTAAGATCTATTTATTATTTATTCATTCATATTTTAAGATTGGAACTCTTATAGTCAAAGCTAGTTGCAAACTCACTAGGTAGCTAGGAATGACTTTGACCTTCTGGTCAGTCTACCTCTACCTTCTGAGTCCTGATATTCCAAGTATCACTCACTATTTTTATAGTACCTGGAGTATGCAGGCCTGGGGATCAAACTCAAGTCCTGTGCATGCCAGGCATGCACTCCACCAAGTGATCTAAATCTACTGCCCATGTCTAAGAAATTTTAGGAATCCAATTTAAATTCGTTTGTATAAAAGAAAACGAAAGCAGATGCTAAGGAAATAATGTGTACTGTTTCAGAAAAGTTTCAGGGGCGAATTTTGACAAATAAAACTGTTTTGATCAGAATTATACTTTGATCTACATATTTGGGGCACATTTTAGCAGAATTTCAAAACTGCTAGCCATGAGGCAAGTCTCCACTCATGAAAATAAACCATTCTAACGTTCTTTCACAAGGAGCTGGTGGCTATCCTCAGAGTACCCAAGAAACATTTGGGCTTAACAACAAAGGTCTAGAAGAAACTCCTGGTGGAGCACAGTGACATCTTGGTATTTCCTCAGTGTGGGCAGAACTAGAAAACTGCACCATTTGAGCTGTCTCTACGTGAGCACCACACTGGTTCAAAAGAGTCATCTCCAGATACTGCCCAGTGTGAATGTATGGGGAGATTAATCTCCGACTGAGACTAAATGCCATCCGTGGGGCTGGGCAGATGGCTCAATTGGCTGCACGACATGAGAACCTGAGTTTCGATCTCTAGCACCCACATAAAATGCCAGGTGTGGGTTGGAGAGGTGGCTCAGCCATTAAGAGCACTTGCTGCTCTTCCAAAGGACCCTAGTTCAGTTTCCAGCAATCACATCAAACGGCTTCACTATTGCCTGTAACTCTGCCTCTGAGGGATCCAAGGTGCACTTCTGGCCTCTTCTGGCACATTCATACACATGACTTACACTCATACAAACGCAGAGACATGCATATAAGTAACAACAACAACAACAACAACAACTTTTTTTTAAGCTGGCATGGTGACACACATCTGCAATC